AAGGCTGTACTCTTTGATCTTCATAAGTAAATGTTTCAAGTCCTCTTCACTTTCAGGTAAACAAAACAAAATAATTGTAAATTGCCTAAGGTTATAGGGCTGACTCTAGAATTGAGGAGTTCTGGTGTGGAGCTGTAGGAAAAGCACTGAAATGACTGCTAACCACAAGGTCAGCAGTTTAAACCCACCAGCTGCTCTTTGGGAGACAAATGAGGCTTTCTGCTCCTGTAAAGATTTGTTGTTGTTGTTATGTACCGTGGAGTCAGTTCTGACTCATAGTGACCCTGCACAGGGCTTCCAAGGCTGTAAATCTTTATGGAAGCAAAAAGCCCCATCTTTCTCCCGCGGAACAGCTGGTAGTTTCGAACTGCCGACCTTGAGGTTAGCAGCCCAATTTGTAACCACTAAGCTACCAGAGCGCCTTCCTTTTATAAAGATGTGTTGTTGTTGTTGTTGTTAAGCACAGTGAGTCGGCTCTGACCCATAGCAACCCCGTACAGGGTTTCCGAGGCTGTAAATCTTTACCAGAGCAGAAAGCCGCATCTTTCTCCCACGGAACCTCTGGTAGTTTCGAACTGCTGACCTTGAGATTAGCAGCCCAACTTGAAACCACTATGCTATACAGCCTGGGAAACCCTATATAAATAGGATCTCTGTAAATTAGAGCCTAGTGGATGATACCTAACAACTAGAATCAAGATTGCATGGCCCTGAAAACAGTACTCTTCTTTGTCTAGCCAGCCTCCATACTGCCTACTCCCTCTTCATAAGGATCTGGGCAGGGAGTCCTAGTATGGCGCTGTAGGATAAGCACGGCACTGCTAACCTCAAGGTCAGTAGTTCAAACCCACCAGCTGCTCCTCGGAAACCCTACACCGGGTCTCTATGAGTTGGAACCAACTCCACATTTATACAGACAGATAATAGGAAGAAGGTCTTAGTCCAAAGCCACAGAGAGATGGGGAGGCAGACCTGGGCCTGCACCCCAGGACTCCAGCTTACAGTCCGGGCCTTCCCAGACGAGTCGTGGTCAAATTCTGACCACCACTCGCTGCTTCCACCACCTGCATAAAATAGGTTAGTCCCCGTGCAAACACTCACCACATTTTTATAAGCTTCCTCCTCGAAGGTGAGCTTCCTCCTGCCAATGAGCGTGACTTTAGAAAACAGGCTTTGTTCCAAGATTTCTTTTAAGAGCACTTTGCCGGTTTCCCCGCTGGCACCCAGAATAAAGACAGACTTATTCTGCATCCTGAAGTCTTCCCTAAGCTTAGGTAGAGCCTCAGTCATGGCCACCCGTCAAGGACAGGTGCTGATCTTAGGATGCTAGGGGGTGGCCTGTCCTCAGCGCGTGGAACAGAGCGGGCAACAAGAGGGAAACAGATCTGTTTGGAAGGAAGATATAGTTATTCTCTGCAGTCTTTGTTATTTTCCACAGAGACCCAGAGGAAAATGCCGAGTCACCGCGGGCGGGGCGGACACCGTATAGATCCTCCCCACTTGAGCCAACCCACACTCGGAAGAGGCCTGCACAGGAGGGCGCACCCAGGTGCCATACACGGAGGGGACCACGAGGCCCCTTTCCCCCACGGAGCCCCGGGGTTTGGCTCATCAAGGGCACCCTCCTCTGCTCACAGGTGTACAGGAACTGAGTTGGGCCCCTGACTCCACATCACACAGCGCCCAGCAAAGGCAGGGCGGCCCCTACAGCCGCCACTGCCTCGGCTCTTAGCCCCCTGGCCCGGGCATGCGGGCAACCTGCCTTTCCCACGGCCCCTTGCTCCACCCCAGCCGTTGGGCGTCCTTTCCAGGTCTGCCCAGGGGTCGGAGAAGGTGACGCCCATGCCCACCCGGCCTACTCTTCCGGGTGAGTTCGCTACGTGCTGCTCCGCCCACGAAGGCGGGGCCTGGGGAGGGGCACACCGGCGGGCGGGGAAGAGGCCTGGGCACCCGCGGAGTAGAAGGCAGGAACGCGTGCTCTGCGCCCCGCTAGAGCTCCAGCGTCAAGGTCACTTCCGGAATCTTGGGACTCGCTAGAGTCATCTCTCCGAGGATCTTAGTACAGTACCTGTGCTGACCACACCTACACCCAAGGCCTCAGTCGATGGATGGACTTCCCCACTCTTGATCTTCCCTGGTACCCCAGACCTCAATTTCAATTGTGTATTGGCCGCCTTCATCTTAATCTTCATCTGAAACTCATCTTAAACTCACTACGTTCTGGTGTGGCGCTGTGGGATAATGAACTGGACTGTAAGGTCAGCGCTTCAAACTTCAAGGAGGGCAGTTCAAACTCACCCGTCGCTCCTCAGAAACCCTATACAGGGTCGCTATGAGTCTGAACCGACTCCACTGCCCATAACTACCACCGCCACCATGTAATTCCAGCTCTCACCGTAGAGTATCTGCCAGCCCGGGCCTGGCCCACTTCAATTTCTGTGATGTTGAAAGACAGAATGACTTCCCACTCCTAGTCTTTTTGTTCCGGCTCCAGAGGCCAGAACAGTGGCTTCTTAACAAAAATAACTGGACTGGCCTGTCTGGAATCTTGAAAGCCCTCTACCGAGGTTGGAATCATAAAAGGGCTTTGAATCACAAAGAAAAAATTGGTTATTGGTTACAGGCTTTTTTGTTTACTTGCCAGCATTTAAACACTAGTCTTATATTGTTGGATGCTGTCAGGACCGTTGCATCTCACTGAAACCCATGTGATAGTGTAGAACTACCCAATAGGGTTTTTCTCTCCTGCAGTCTTTACAGGAGCACCTTGCCAGGTCTCTTTCACGGACTTGCTGGGAAAGGTTCAAAAGGTTCAGCAGTCCAATGCTTAACCATTTCACCAGTGGGTCTCCTTAGTCTTTTTGTAGTTGTTGTTGCAGAGTGCCATGAATCTGTTCTGACTCACAGCCACCCTGTATAGGGTTTCTGAGGAGTAGCTGATGAGTTTGAACTACTGACCTTGCAATTAGCAGGCTTATGCTTATTGTACATTATACCACACTGGCAGAGTACCTCACCTCCCATTCTAGAAGTCAAGTGAGACACAGTCCCTCTCCCAACTCCTTGGAAGTTATTGTACGAGTGGAGCCCCAACTGTATATGTGTGGCCTAGATTCAGCTAACATTTGCCCAAGTTTTCACTTTTACTAATAAGGAGTCTAAGCTGAATAGAGTGTGGGGCAAGGATTTGGAAGACGGCATTTGATTTCTGGTTTGTAGGTTGCTTCCCTTAATTCCTGCCTGTGTTTCAGAGATTGTTTTATGTACTTCCTCATATTTTTCCGCTAAATTACTTTTTACTTAAGTAAATCAGAATTTCTGTTACTTTAGATCAAGAACATTGACTAATGCAGTACAGAGTGCTACATATATATTCCCTACTGGCCCTGTTCCAAGGAGCTCTGGTAGCATAGCGGATACGAATTGGGCTGCTAACCTCAGGTCGGCAGTTTGAAACTACCAGCTGTTCTGCGGGAGAAAGATGAGGCTTTCTGCTCCCGTAAAGATTTGCAGCCTCGGAAACCCCGTGCCGGGTCGCTATGAGTCGGAACCGACTCCAGGGTACTTACCAACAACAACTGGCCTGCCCCAGTGCTTGGATTTTTTGAGTTTCTAAAGCTTTTCTACTAAAACACAACTTAAAATCTTGTCACCTAACATTAAGGAATTCATGTTACAGTTCATTCATCGTTATTAGCACCCTACTTCTATTCTCCCCTTATTTAAAAAAAATTTGATGCATTGAACACTAATGACAAAAGGCTTGATAAACTGTGGGATGACATCAAGCACATCTTACATGAAGAGAGCAAAAGTTCATTTAAAAAGACAGAAAAGAAAGCAAAGACCAAAATGGATGTCAAAGAGATTCTGAATGTGCCTTTTGGTAGTGTAAATTATTATATATGCCTGAGTGTTTAAAAAAAAGGCTAAAATGAATACAGAGAAATATTGTTAACTGATAGTACATGTAGGGGATTATAATCATTGTAATGAAACAAGGTATGTAATTTGTTGAATGTAAAACTGATGATCTGCCTTGTAAACTTTCACTCAATTCACAATAAAACTTAAAAAATAAATTAAATTAAAAATTAAATTGAAAAAAAAAAGATTTTGAAACTTGAACGTTGAGTAGCTAAAGTGAATGAAAGAAATAATGAACTAAAGAGCTGAAATGAAGATTTCAAAGGGCAGCTAGAGAAGACAAAGTATTATAATGAAATATAATAAAACAAAGTATTACAATGAAATGACTTCGTTAGAAAACTGAAAGGAAAAAATAATGCTTAGCATTTCTCAAGCTGAAAGAAGTGAAGAAAAAAAAAAATCAAGCCTTGAATTGCACTATTGAATAATTATATGGTTAAAAATGGAATGATGCAGGAAGTACCAAAGGAAGGAATGAAAGGGATGCACAGAGTCACTGCACCAAAAAGAATTTGTCGACATGCAACCATTTCAGGAGACAATATATTATCAAGAACTGATGATATAAAAGGAAGTTGTCCAAGCTACACTCAAGGCATTGGCAAAACAAGACTCCACGAATTCACAGAATATTGAGATGTTTCAACAAATGAGTGTGATGCTGGAAACACTCACTTGTCTATGACAAGAAATTTATGGTTGTGTTCTTTCATCATACTTATTCAATCTGTATACTGAGACTGAATAATTGGAGAAGGATTCATTAACAACCTATATGCAGATGATACAACTTTGCTTGCTGAAAGCTAAGAGGATTTAAAATGCTTAAGATCAAAGGCTATAGCTTTCTGTATGGACTACATCTTAACATCAAGAAAATAAAAGTCCTCAGAACTAGACAAATAAGCAACATCATGATAAATGCAGAAAATATTCCAGTTGTCAAGGATTTCATTTTACTTGGATCCATAACCATGTCCATGGAAGCAGTAGTCAAAAAATCACATGCGTTAACATGGAGCACATCTGCTGCAAAAGACCACTTTAAATTTTAAAAACCAAAGTTCTCACTTTGAGGACTAAGATGTGCCTCACTGACCCAAGCCAGGATCTTTTCAATTGTCCCGTATGTAAGTGAAAGCCCAGAATAAAGAAGACCAAAGAAGAATTTTTTGAAATTAGAAGGAAGGCCCCAGCTTAGGTAAAACTAAGATACTGGCACTGTGGGTTAATGCGCTGAACTGCAAAGTCAGTTTGTTCCACAGTGTCGGCAGTTCAAGCTCACCAGCCACTCCTCAGAAACTATACAGGGTCACTATGGGTTGGAGCTGACTGGAAGGCACTTAACAACAACAGCAAGAACATTTACCCAGTTGCTGGATAGCCTTGCACCCAAGGTCTCCTTGCACGAGTGTAAAGAGCTTCTTAGGGAGAAAATGTGCCCAAGAAAAGAAGAATCTAGGATAGCAAATTCAAACCAAAAAGAGAGATTTAGCCATTGGTGGGGTGGGGGATGATTCAAAAACAGTGTGGTATCTGTCACTTGCGTTTACATCCAGACCTGTATTAGTTTCCAATGTGTGTGTAAGGGCTATGAAAAACTGAAATAAGGTTTCACGAAAGAACAGACAGAAACGTCTGCAAGACATGGGGAACAAGCAGCACTGCTTGGAGGACCCCTGTGCATAAAGGAGAGGATAAAAGCCTCTTTTCTCTTAAAGAAGGACAACTTCCTGTACCTTCAAACTCTCAAGGTTAAAGACACACGGAGAGAAGAAGAGAGATCAACGTGAGAAGTTTTGCCAAAGGACACTTAACACATTTCAAAAAACTATACACATGCATTTACAGGGGGTGGGGATATATGAATATCTAGGAGCAGTAGCCACAGGAAATCCAAGCTGGTGAAGAATGGGGAATTTACATATTACTTTTATACTTCCTGCCATTAACATTGATTATAGTAACCTGGTGTAGTACCTGCAGTAGATCAGCACTTAGAGCCACAAGATCAGCAGTTCAAACTTACCAGCTGACCCTCGGAAACCTATACTGGGTGACGATGAGTGGGAACCCACTTGACAGCACTTAACAACAGAGTAACATGCAGCAGGAGCCCTGGTAACTGGTCAGCAGTTGGAATCCCCCAGCCGTTCCACCCGGTAGCCTCAGAAACCCTCTTGTTGTTATTTAGTGCTGTTGAGTCGGTTCCGACTCATAGCGACCCTGTATAGGGTTTCCAAGGAGCGGCTGGTGAGCTTGAACTGGCAACTTTGCTACTCAAATCGAGTTTGCAGTCCAGCACATTAACCCACAGCGCCACACCAGCAGTCTAGAAACGGAAACCCTCTACAGGGTCTCTATTGGTTGAAACGGCTGCACAGCATGCAAAGAGAGAAAACAAAAGTTTGGTCTGTAGATGAGTGTGCGTGTTTGCATTGCAGAAAATAAATCGAATTCTCTTCTACTGCCAACCCTTGCAAGCATGTGTGTTTGAACAACATAGAAACGAATTTCAGTTTCAGTTTCACATCCCTGACAACGGACAGCATTTGGACTCTTAGTTACGGCTACAAAGCACTAGAGGGCACCAGAGAAGGAGGAACTGTTTGAGATTCTTGGGAAAGCAAGCACTCAGCATTGAAAAATCCTTCTCTGGTCTATGGATTGCTGTTGTTATTAAAGTGCCACGGAGCAATCCTGTATAGGGCTCCTAAAGAGCAGCTAGTGGGTTTGAACCTGAGACCTTGAAGTTAGCAGTCCAGTGCCTATCCTACAGCACCACATCAGGAGTCTGGCCTTAAGATATATGGACTATATATGTAGTGAATATATCTGTATATATTTACTATCAGTTCTTTCGATTTTTAAAAAATGTAATAATTAGGTGAGTAAATGTATTGGCTAATATGGG